TTGAAGAAGGTAACAAAGTGAGGATATTCTTGAATCAATGGCATTTGCTAAACCAAACTAAATAACTCTGCATGACAACATACATTTTCCCTGTTTTTATATGATGCAAGGAACATATGAAACATAATCTTCACCTTATTATCTAAAGTAGCTGGTTCAAGTGAATTATCTCTAATACACAGCACATCCCTGTTACTGCAGATAGCTGAAAGTATCAGGTAATTTATGGATAAGCCTGCAGGACTGGGGTCATTGGATTCACCCTCATCCTCCAGACGCCACACCGTTTCCCCTAAAGATATTGTAGCATAGCAAAACGTTGGAAGAAAGAACGGATAATTCTTGATAGCCATACTTTCAGTTCTTTCAAATTTCATTACTGGATACATAATAGTGATTCCCCATTCTTAGAGAAAGGAGAATGAATAAAGAACATTTTGGCAAATCTTAACTTACATACCTGCAAAAAATGATATGTCAAAAAGGACGTTGTTTTTTCTTGTGCTATTGCTATTAGAGCAATTTTTATTGTTTTTAAAAACAATTGTATTTACTGGATTTATGTATTCTCTTTTTGCTTGAGAATTGGCAACAAAAGTATCAAACACTATTTTATTAGACAAGAATTTTTTGGTAACACGTTGATGCATGCTGAAATCCTCACAGTATTTAGTATTGTTGAAGTTATTATCATTTTTTGTTGAGATTTACAAACTCTATGTTTCATTCAATTTTGCAAACCAAGTGATGAAGTTTGAATAAGTTGATTTGTTTGGAAAAATACTTTGACAAAAAACCTACTTCATAGTTTAATAATTTCTTTAAAATTAAAATACCATTATGCTCCGCCTTTAGTAACCCTCATTTCAATTTCAAACATTTTCTTGAATTTCATTGGTTGTTAAATAAAAATAAGCTTTGAGTAATTTCCATAACAAAACAGTCAAAATTTGTGCAAAGTAGGCTCAACCGACACAAAAAAATCTTTCTCAAATTCATCCCTGATTTAAATGTTTCAAGAAATCCTATTGGCTAAAAAATAAAAAATACAACATTCGCCCACGCATTTCTCATAAAAATTTGCAACAGCTACCAAGCCCCGTTGGAGCTGATTTCATTGTTAAGAAAATTAGAAGTAGAAATAGTAAACAAATTTACATCGTATTTGAGACTCACACATGCGAAAGATACACACAGGAATTATGTGCTGCCAAATAAACAAACTTCCTTTATGAGAAAAATTTACACAACAAACTTTTTCACCCAATATCTTTCATAGAAAAATCTTTTGTCTAAGTTAAATTCAACCTTTTTAATCAAAGACAGACAACTTTTTAGACATTGAACATTTCCGAAACAGCAAAGAACATTTTCTCTAAAATATACCTTTGCACACATCATTACAAAAAAAAATTGTAAATTGTGTATATTATAGTGGGTCAGCCAATTTGTATTGGTTATAAATAGAAATAAAAACTGACCCTCTACAATTTTTACAATATCAAATGTAACAAAGACAACAACAATAGAAATAATCAAGTAGAAGAAAATGTGAATTTGTTCAACAATAAATATTTTTTTATAAACACAACAAATACATAATATATAGTGCAAAAGTTGATAAACACAATAAAGTTCTTTGGTGTGTGTGTTACTGAAAGAATTTGAGTTACTGTACTGTATGTGTGAAAATGACAAGGTTTAGTTAGCTATATTGTTTTTATAGGAAAATTAAACAGATGTTTTTTTTGTGTATTAAATAGAAAAAAAGTATTGTTCTTGACTCACTGATTGTTATCGCTCATCAACCAGAGATTCTTGTGGAATGGAATATTTTGTGGGAGTGAGCGTTAAGCCTGGAGATGGTTGACAAAATTTGTTGTTGTATTGAAGATAAAGTTCGTCTCCTTTGCTGTGTTGATTTCCAACTTTGTCAAGTGAATTGGTTTCAATATTTTAAGTGCCCACTGACCAAGTCGCGTCGAAGTTTCGTTTTTATTAGTTCTCTTGGTCACGTGGGGAGGCTCGTAAACATGTTTACATTTTATGGCGTCAACTAGAGGTCAAAATTTGGGTCGGTACCTTCGGACGTAGTTGACGACTCCTAATTAATATTTTACAACTAATCAAAATAAATCAGTTGTTATATCTGGTTGGGAGCCTCTATGTGTTTAACTTGCACAAAATTTAAAATTTTAAAAAAATGTAGGAATATGATTCTACAATAACCCCCCCCGCAGATTGTGAAAGTTTTTGAGAGAAAATTTTCTCAATATGTAATATACGTTTTAAATCTACTAGGCCAATGAACATGTCTGCCAGACTTAGTAGTAACTTCCGCGGGTGGTACTGAAGGTGAAAGCTGCGCTGGCTGGGTCGAAGATGTTAGCTCAGGGTCAGGAAGTGATTTATGAGATAAATCGATGTAAGCCGGTTTCAACCGGTCGACTGACACTGTGTTAGGCTTTCCGTGCAAAAGTAAAGTAAAATGCTTGGACGTTCTATTAATTACTTTATGTGGACCAGAATACGTGGGGGTTAAGAGTCTTCTAACTGCATCTTTTCGCAGGAAGACGTAATCACAACTGTCTAAATTTTTCGGCATAAAGAACTCCCTTGTTTGGGCACGCGTTGGAGTAAAAGCTAGGTTTTCCATTTTTTGTTTAAAATCCTGGACGAAATAGGTAGTCGGTCTGGAAGGAGTATGCTTTTCCACGAACTGTCCAGGGAGTGTTAGCGTACTCCCAAAAACAAGTTCTGCTGTAGTGCATCCTAAGTCCTCTTTGACTACATTTCTTAATGACAGTAAAATCAGTGGTAGGTTTTCCAGCCAAGTCCTGGAGTCATCACTTGCTGCTAGTGCTGCCTTAAGTTGCCTATGAAATCGTTCCACAAGGCCGTTTGCACATGGATGGTAGGCGGTTGTAGAAATGTGCTTTACGCCTAATAAGGTTATAAATTCATTGAAAAGGACTGACTGGAACTGGGAACCTCTATCAGTGGTTATTATTGAGGGACAACCAAAGATAGAGATCCACTCTCGAAGAATGCACCTGAAAATCGTTTCCGCTGAAATACTTTTTAAAGGAACGGCTGCAGGCCAACGAGTGAAACGATCGATTATTGTTAATAAGTATTGGTACCCATCAATGTCGGGCAAAGGGCCCACTAAGTCAACGTGAATGTGGGTGAACCTACCATCAGGCTTAGAGAATGTACCAGGCGGAGACTTGGTATGCCGTTGTATTTTAGTTTGCTGGCATTTTAAACAAGTCTGTGTCCAGTGTTTTATGTCACTGGACATTTTTGGCCAAACGAAACGATCACTAATAATCTTAGTAATCGCTCTTCGACCAGGGTGCGACAGAGAATGGAAATGTTCGAATACTTTTTTTCGCAAAGAAGGTGGTACATAGGGCCTAGAGTATCCTGTGCTTACATCACAATAGACAGTAGTGTTACCAAATGGCACAGGGTGTTGCTTTAACTGTAGTGACGTTTTTCTTTTACTGATTCCAAAGTAGTGTCAGTCTTTTGTTCTTCCGCTAAGGAGTCGAAATTCAAGGTCTGTGCGTCAATTGACTGTATCGTTGATCGCGATAGGGTATCAGCTACTATATTGTCAGCTCCTTTTACATAGCGGATATCCGACGTATATTGGGAAATATAATCCAATTGTCGGATATCCCTTGGGGTATATTTGTCCGACTTGGCGTGCAGAGCATAAATTAATGGTTTATGATCTGTATAGACCACAAAATTCCGTCCTTCCAAAAGATGACGGAAATGACGGATTGCCAAGTATATTGCCAGTAATTCCCTTGAAAATGCGCTGTACTTTTTCTGAGATGAGTTTAGCTTGACTGAAAAGAACGAAATAGGTTTTTTAGCATCTCCCTGTTCCTGGTGAAGCACAGCCCCTATGGAGTCGCCTGATGCGTCTGTTGTCAGTGTGATCATTGAGTCATCATCGGTTATATATGATAACTTCGTAAAGTTGGCAAGGACGTCTTTGGCTCTGTGAAAAGCAGTCAGTGATTCGCCTTCCAAGGTAATCTTTGAGTTCTTCTGACGCTGTTGTTGCAGTAAATTTGTGAGGGGAATCAGAATCTGGGAACAACCAGGAATGAACCTCCGGTAGTAATTAATGAGGCCTAAGATTCGGCGTAACTGCCGGAGTGAAGTTGGTTGTGAGAAATTTGAAATAGATTCTATTTTCTCAGGTAAAGGGCGTTATTCCTTTTCGTCAATGACGTGTCCCAAAAATTTAAGCGAGGGCACAGCAAAAATACATTTCTCTGCGTTAATCTTAAGGCCAAAATGCTGTAGACGTTGGAAAACTTGTTCAACGTGGTGACGATGTTCAGTCTTGTTTCTACTGGCGATCAGGACGTCATCAATATAGGCAAAGGTGAAAGGTAAACCTCTCAGCACTTCGTCTATAAGCCGTTGGAAAGATTGTGCAGCGTTCCTTAAACCAAATGGCATTCTCACAAATTCGTATAAGCCAAAAGGAGAAGTTATTGCTGTTTTATGGATGTCTTCCTTGGCCACTGGTATCTGGTGGAATGCTTTCACCAGATCAAGTTTGGTGAAGACTGTGGCGCCCTGCAGACCCACTGCGAAATCGTGCAAGTGCGGGATGGGGTATTTATCCGGAATTGTAGTAGCATTCAGCTTCCGGAAGTCGCCACAAGGTCTCCAAGCTCCTGAGTCTGGTTTTGGAACCATATGAAGAGGAGATGAGTAAGGACTCGAAGAAGGTCCAGCATGTGCTGAAACTTGTCTTTCGCCAGTTTATATTTATCAGGCCTCAATCGCCGTGGAGATGAATGCGTGGGTGTGCCCGTAGTATCAATGTGGTGTTCAGCATTGTGACGAACGGTTTCTGTATACCGGAATGGTGTTGTAATTTGAGAATATTTTTGTAACAGATCCTGCATTCCGTTGGCTTCAGGTAGAGTTGCGCTGATACATGTGCTCGTATAAATAGATGTACTTCATTTCCTTGTAATGTTGGTCGTTTTATCCTCCAAAGAAAGGGAAGACATATTAACGAACAAGTTAAAGTGGGCGAGGAAATCCGCTCCTAGGATTGGGGTTCGAACTTGGGCTATCGTGAATACCCACGGAAAAGATCGCCTAAATCCCAGATTTAGGGTTAAAGAGGTTTCACCATATGTCTGGATTGAAGATCCATTCGCCGCTTGTAACGTATAATCTGTCTTTCTATTCAACATATTAGGCTTGGCTGGTATTACACTAATTTGGGCCCCAGTGTCCACTAAAAACAAGTATCCGGAGTTCTCATCTCGGATGTAAAAGAGACGACTTTTGGCATCCCTCCGGCAGCAAACGTCTCTACTTGTTGCCGGGATAGTCGTTTCCCGACTGCTGTGTTTGTTATCCTTAGCTGCGTTTATGTCGAAGTTACACGGTTTCGTACAATGCCGCGCTTGTTGTCCATATTTAAAATAATACCAACAGGTATTAAATATAGGCCTGCTTCTGGATGTGGAACGTGATCTTCGACTAGTATGATGCGATGGACGTGGTCGACTAGTGAAATTGTTGGGTGTGCGATTTTGCTGATGCATAGCGGTTTGTAGAGCTTGTAACTGTGAGGTAAGCTCGGCTATACAATCTTTAATTTTCGATAACTCTTGTGAGTCACGGACTGAAGAGACAATAGGTTGTAGTGGTGTCGCAGAAGCATTTCCCGGAGGTTTATTCTCATATATTTTGTCCGCGATTTCTGCCAATCGCTGTAGGTCCAAATCGTCCGGGAGTGACACTAATATTTGTGATGTTTGTGGGCTCAGTTTATCCATCCATAGTTTACGGAGGACTGTGTCAGACATGGTATTGTCACCTAGTAAAGCTTTCATCTTTCTAAGCAATTGGGAAGGTTTATAGTGTCCCAAATGAAGGTTGTTAAACAAATCGTGCAACCGACGTTCCTCTGATTCGCCCGTGCGGTATAGTATAGCATCTTTCAAAGTATCATACGGTTTCTCCGCCGGCACTTCACTGAGGAGGTCTGCTACCTCTAATGCTACATCTGAGGGAAGTTTCTCAACTACAAAAGCGTAACGGGCATGTTGAGACGTGACCTTTCTTGCATTAAAATTGCGTTTAACTGCGCAAACCACACTTGAACGTTGGTGTGGTTGTACGTCGGTAGACTGATGGAAATTGCCGCTTCAATATGTTCGCTGGTAGAATTTTCCATTGTTTTCGTTTAAAACGTGACAACTAAAGTATTTCTCTTATAAAATGCTGTTTTTTAAATATTGCTTTGCACATTTGAACTTCAGGGGTCACCAATTTATAGTGGGTCAGCCAATTTGTATTGGTTATAAATAGAAATAAAAACTGACCCTCTACAATTTTTACAATATCAAATGTAACAAAGATAACAACAAGAGAAATAATCAAGTAGAAGAAAATGTGAATTTGTTCAACAATAAATATTTTTTTATAAACACAACAAATACATAATATATAGTGCAAAAGTTGATAAACACAATAAAGTTCTTTGGTGTGTGTGTTACTGAAAGAATTTGAGTTACTGTACTGTATGTGTGAAAATGACAAGGTTTAGTTAGCTATATTGTTTTTATAGGAAAATTAAACAGATGTTTTTTTGTGTATTAAATAGAAAAAAAAGTATTGTTCTTGACTCACTGATTGTTATCGCTCATCAACCAGAGATTCTTGTGGAATGGAATATTTTGTGGGAGTGAGCGTTAAGCCTGGAGATGGTTGACAAAGTTTGTTGTTGTATTGAAGATAAAGTTCGTCTCCTTTGCTGTGTTGATTTCCAACTTTGTCAAGTGAATTGGTTTCAATATTTTAAGTGCCCACTGACCAAGTCGCGTCGAAGTTTCGTTTTTATTAGTTTCTCTTGGTCACGTGGGGAGGCTCGTAAACATGTTTACATTTTATGGCGTCAACTAGAGGTCAAAATTTGGGTCGGTACCTTCGGACGTAGTTGACGACTCCTAATTAATATTTTACAACCAATCAAAATACATCAGTTGTTATACCTGGTTGGGAGCCTCTATGTGTTTAACTTGCACAAAATTTAAAATTTTAAAAAAATGTAGGAATATGATTCTACAATATAAAATTTAGTCTGTTGTTTCACACATGTATTTTTTGTCGTGATTGAATATCGTTACCATTTGGCCATTTCTTATAATTTATGTTTGTGGATATTTCATTTTTTTATTTACAGCACAATCTTAAATATTCACGCAACCTTCTTAGATCCACTACATGCCCATACACTTTAACTCAGTAATGTCAACGGTCCTGATAATAGGATGGCATGCATTAATGGATGATAGATAGAAACCAATAATTAATAGATATTTTTAGAAACTAACGATTATAGAGTATTTATACTGGATTTTTATTTGAATGAGAACTTTTTTTACAATTCTCACAGTATTTAGTATTATTGAAGTTATCACTGACATTTTTGTGGAGAGTTACAAACACTACGTTTTGATCAATTTTGCAAATTGTTTTGGTGAAATTTGAATAACCTGATTTGTTTGGAAAAATACTTTGACAAAAAACTTACTTTGCAGTTTTTATGTAAAACAAACTGTACTTTGTATGCCCTTAACTGTTTTCACTTCTCTCCAAAATTTGGTTTCAAACAGTCAATGGATGGCTATTTTAGATGGTGTGACAGACAGGCAGACAGATTAATGAAAGTCCCAGAATTTTATATATAGATTGTTTAATTACAAGAATAATTTTATATTACAAGTTTATAAAAATATGTGAACCAACTATGATAATATTTTTGTTATTTATCATATTATAAATAACTATAGAAACATTTTTTTTTATTAATAAATTTATAAAAATGTCTATGAACTACAGAACATTAATTGACAACAAAAATGTTAAAAAATATTTATTTATTATTAGACTGTCTATTTACAAGAATAGTGTTTAATACTTTTTGTCAATTTTCAAGAAAAAAGAGAAGGCAGAAATTCAGTTTTATATGTTTTCTTTCTTTTTATGTGCCATACCCTTTCATGGCTCTCCACCCCACTCTATCCCTTGCAGCTCTCAACAAGTTCCTTCTCTCTGCTTCCCCCCCACCACCACCACCACGTTCTGTCATCCACCTGCTCAAGCTCGCCAGGTATGTCATGCACTGCTTTCACTTGTCTTCCTTTCCCTCTATTCGACCCATGAGTATCAGATTCTCCAAGACCTCCTTCCTCATTCCCAGAAAAGCTGCCTCTTTCTGATGTTAAGTATAAGCCTTCTCCTTGTTTGTAACCTCTCTAAGACCTCATCGTTACTTACATGCTCGGTCCATGATATCCTTAGCATCCTTCTATAGAACCACATCTTCGTCGCCTTGAATCTCTTCTTCATCTTTTAGGAAATTGTCCAACATTCACTGCCATAAAGAAGGACAGATGTCACATAACAGCTACCAAAGATATCCTCCTGTCTTGTAATACTTTGCCCAGCTCTTGGAATATGTCCTTAGCTATCCGGATACATCTACCAATCTCAGTGTCGCACTTGCCGTCCTCTGTCAAGATGCTTCCTAGATATTTAAACTTCCGCGTCTGCTTGATTCTATTGTTCCCGACCTGCAAATCACATTTCAGGCTCTTCCTCTTACTGATGACCATGCATTCTGTTTTCTTGTAGTTTATGCTTCGTCCTATCTTCTCACCCTCCGTCAATACCTCCTGTAGGAGATTTTGTAATTTCTTTTCTATGTCTGCTATCAGTACTGTGTCATCTGCATATCTTATGTTGTTAAGGTTGTGGCCACCAATGTTTAGGCTTTTTTAAAATTATAAAATAGCTTTTTTAAACAATAAAAATTGTTACAGTCATATACAATCATAGTTATATCAAGAGAAAGTGACATATTGCTTTTTTTGCAGGTACATATGTTAAACTTTCTCAACATTTTATTGGTGTAATCAGAAAGGATCCTTCCATTTGCTGTATTTAGTACCTTGAAATGAATAAAACCATAATACTAATGTCATATAATACTGGCATCCAAAGTTTTAAAGTGATTGTTTACGAAGTGTCAGCTTGAGACAACAGAACTCAACTTTAGGTATTGACTTGGATAGACATATGAAAAATCTTCAGTTTTTACTGTTTCAACTTTTTATTTATTTATTTATTTATTTTTTTGGTGGGGGGTAAAAATTAATCACTGATCAATTTCTTCTACTTTTGGGTGTCATGTCTCTCCATAACTTCCTCTTCCTTTGTAGCTCTTCGTAATGTTTGCCTTTTTATCATTTCTCCTTGCTCTCATTCTGCCATCCCTTCACACATGAGTGTCAAATTTTCCAAGCCCTCCTTCCTCATTATGTATCCAAGTATGTTCACTTGACTCTTTCTGATTTTGAATATCTGTTTCCATATTCCCTAAGACTTCTTTGTTGATTATGCACTCAAAGAATGTCTTAAAAAAAGCTTATTCACTGCATTTATTTTGAAAACATCAACTTTGAAGGGACCTGCAATTGTATTGCCTACAGTCTTCTTCTACATACCATTATCTTTTCAGGATGTGGGTGATCATGGCTCTCCTATTCCTTGTAGCTCTTAGAAGCACCCACAATTATGCCATTCATTCACATAAGCTGGTCAGGTTGGTGGCTCACTGCTTTCACTTGTCCTTTCTGCCTTTGAGTGTCAAATTCTCCAAGCCCTCCTTCCTCATTATGTGTCCAAGAAAGTTCAGCTGTCTCTTTCTGATTTTGGGTATGTGTCCTCTTTGTTTTCATTTTCCTCCAGACTTCTTTGTTTCTTATACACTTTGTCTATGGTATTCTCATCATCCTTCTGTAGAACAAGATTTCTTTTGCCTCCGGTCTTCTCTTTGTCTGTGAGGAAATTTTCCAGCATTCACTGATATGACATAAGAGTTCAGCACTCTTTTCTTTGCTTTTAATTAAATTTTCCTGTTTCTTTGAGCTTATCAAAATCATTTAAAAAATTAAACATTCCAAAAACACCCATGACAGTTACATGGTGGTTTAGGTAAGTAATAAAAAGCTAATATGAATTCAATTCCTGTTTGTAGGTACATTTTCTTTAGCATGACTTCTCAATCTCTAGGCTGGTAGACATTAATTTTCACTGTTTAACAAAAGAGAGATGTCTATCCAAATGAAATATATTTATAGCAATAAGGAATAGAATTTATATACACCATGATTTATATTGCGAAAAATAATGTTATAATAGGCCAACATGGAAAAAAGTGGTAAAGAATAGGGTCCAAATTTTACTTCAGAGATTAAGAAGTAGATTGGGTGTTGGGGGTGGTTGGGGCTGTATTGACTGAAATTCTGTTCTACAAATGAATTTATTAATATTTATTTATTATAGTTATTTGTTTAATTATTTATTTATTTAATTTATTTATCTACCTACCTATTTATTATTATTATTATTATTATTATTATTATTTCCTTTCATTTCTGTTATATACACATTTCTTTTTGGGTCCAACCAGAGTCCTAAAGACAGAAATGGTTTCATGACATTTTCCACTGATCATTCTTGTAAAAACAAAAAAAGAATTAAAAAAACAGCCTAAGATCACACACATTTTATATAGATAAAGCTCTTCATAAAATGTGAACTGTACTTGTGAGTACAATTTTTTGTATTTCTTTAAGGCTACCCAGAATCCTTCAATAAGTCTATCAGAACCTTTTCCAATCAATCCAAAGGATGATTATTATTATTATTATTATTATTATTATTATTATTATTATTTCCTTTAATTTCTGTTGTATACTCATTTTTCTGGGTCCAGAGAACATTTGTATAATAAAAA